GCCGCGTGCTGCGTCCGTAATGGAACCAGCGCCGCCGACCGGGACAAGTGTTGGAGATCGGGTGTACAAAACGTACCTTAAGCGAGGCCTTCGGACCACCAATGAACAGTGAGTCGAGTTAAAACAAAATGCTGGGAATTTAAAAGAAAGCCCCCTGGGAACAACGAGACGAGCGAGCAGGGGAGGGGCCCCTCCCATACACATAAATAGAACAGCTTTTTGCCAAGGGTGAGCTGAAGCAAAAGCATTGAAATATGTTTTTTAAAAATAAACCAGAGCGCTAATAAGCGTTTGGGCGAATTTTAGAGGCTTTAGCAAGTTCTTATAAAAGTAAACAATCCACAAACATGGTGTGGAAAAAACCAGATAAAGACAAACAAGCAAAAATGAAACCACCGGGGAGTATGAGCCCCCGACCGGAAGATACCACCAAATTTTCTAAACTGTTAGCAGACTCTTTGTGTCCTCTACTGGACCAGATGACGAATATCAATCAACAGCTGACAGCTTTAAACCAGAATCTTGCAGCTCAGCAGCTCCAATTGACTGAAACTACGAAAAAGATGGAGCAAACAGCTGAGAAAGTGAAGGAAATGGATGCCAAATCTAAAAAGGTTAAGAAAAAGGTTCAAATGCTGGAAAAGAAGCAAGCTTCAGACGAATTTCAACTTTTGCAGCTACAAATGGAGAAAGCTAACCTAGTCCTCCGGTTCCAAGTGGTCCCAGAAGCAAAAGAGGAGAATCTAAAACAACTTTTGAGCGACGCACTAGCTCCAGTTACAGATTTAAAAGTGGAATACCTTGTAAGCGAAATGGATGTGGTTTACAGAGCCTATTCCGTTTATATCAAGAAAAATAATCTGCCTGGGGAGATAGTGGCTAGATTCTCGAAGAGACATGTGAGGGATCAAATCCTGAAAGCAACCACAGGGATGCCCTTGAAAATTGGAGGCAACACCCTCATTTTTTTTTGGAGAAAGCAAATTTGGTCCTACGATTCCAAGGGGTCCCAGAATCAAAAGGTGAGAATCTAAAGCAACTCCTGAGTGAAGCATTAGCCCCAGTTACAGATTTGAAAGCAGAGTATCTTGCAAGTGAAATGGATGTGGTCTATAGGTTCTATTCCGTGTACATCAAAAAGAATAATCTGCCTGGGGAAATCGTGGCTAGATTCTCAAAGCGACACGTGAGGAATTCTATCCTGAAAGCAACAACAGGAACACCCTTGAAAATTGGAGGCAACACCATCAGGATTCTAAAAGACACTCCATTTAAAATAAGGAAGAAGAGGAAGAAGTATAAAGATTTGATTCTGTTTTTACAAACAAACAGCATTTCCTACAGACAGTTTACCCCCGAAGGTGTCATTTTCAAACTGCAGGACAAAAAAGAAAAAAATGACTCTGTTTCTAAAGCACGTGAGTTCCTGAGACTGCAACTGGGAGAGTCAGGTGAGGACAGCAAGGAAGAAGAAGACAGCAAACTTAGTGATGAAATTAACTCTGCTACTTCCGACGAGGACTTCCGACGAGGACTCTGCTTCCGAAAAGGGGGTGGCACCCCTCAAACGAGAATACCAATTGAGGATTAGAAAAGACAAAACAAAATGAAGGCTGAAGAACTCTGAATGGTACCTTGAAGCTTTTAACAATGCTCTTATGATTTTCTTTAAACAGTTTAATTAATGGTTTTAAAGAGAAATAAAATATCTTAATTGACCATGTTCAATGTAATCTTAGCATTTTAGACTAACACTGATACAAGCTTTTGTAATGATCTCCTATACTTGGGGTTTAAGTGGTTTTCTTTCCTTTCTCCCATAGTTGTAATTCCCCATTCCCTTTTTCATTGTAGTCTATAGAAAAATGCAATAAAAATCCCCTTCGGGGGGCAAAAAAAAGAGAGACTATGGTTCAGATAACAGTGGATGAGGAGGGCTGTTTTATGTAGCACCCCCTACCACACGCCACCGTCAAACATTTTAAAAAGCAAGTATTTCATAATGTAGGCCATACAGGAACAGGTGCTTGGCTGAATGCACATGAACTGGGGAATTAACGTGCACACAAAGTCAACATCCATAAATTTGCTACCCCTGGATACAGAGGATTTACTGGTGGCTAACATCCTCCAATTTCACACAACTGCCACGAGGCATACCATGAGATTCCCACACAGAATGGCTACATTACACCTTGCTTCCCTATGCAAGTGCTAGCAGCCTCCAAGGAAATGTAACACT